TATGTTATTCTTCTTTGCATTGTCTAGCAGCTGCTGGATTGATTTCTCATGTTCCCTTACAATTTTAAAGCAATTTTTCCTTTCCTGGTCACTAATTGCAGTCTTACCTTCTATATCTGAAATTTTGTCCTCACATTGTCTCATTCCGCTGTGTAAGCTTTCAATGGTGTTTTTAATCTGGAAATCTGTTTGCATCTGTTTTATGGATTCCATTTATTTCCTATGTTGGGATTCCACCATGTTCCTCAGCTCCTCTATGTTTTTATCTGTGTCCTCTCTAGGTGTTTTAATCCTGTGTTGTACTATGGGCCCAATCTCTGCTATTATCTGAGAAAATATTTCTGATTTCATTTTTTCCAGGTCCTCTTTTGTTGCCAGTTCAAGGAGTCCTGGTGGTTGATTATCAGATTGTTCCATCTAGTTGCCCTTTGTGGTTGCCTTAAGCAACCTGGAAGTCTGGTTTTGAGAAATTTTTAGGTGTCTTCTCATTTCAACAGGCTGGGAGATGCTACTGGTGCCTGTGTGGTTCACCTCCTGGGCACAGGGGGCATCTTTGGTCCTTGGCACTGGGGGCGGTGGGAGAGTGGCACAGAAGATTCACCTCCTTGTCATTGGGGTCTGCTCTGGTCTTTGGCTCTTGGGGCAATGGTTAGATGACCATCACTTTAGAAAAGAAAACTGAAAGTATTTGGTTCTCAGAAAAATTTAGCCTTCCTTCTAAGAATAGCACAAGTCCACTTATGAATCACTGACTAAAGATAAGTGAAAATTTGAGTTAGCAAATAACCCAGAACAGCTGTACACATGGCAACAAGTTTTTTCTCACCTTGTTTAGAATAATGCAGAGTAAAGGGGCCATCTTGACTCCTTGGGTACTCCTTGTCAGAGGAGACAGTACCCCCACCTCAAAGTGCTCTGTATTCCTGGATGACTGTACCTTAAAAAAGGACAGAGAAGCATAAAAGCAGGGCCAGTTCTCATACAAAGAAAGATTTGAGAGGGACTATGGAAGGGTCTTCTATCTCCTGTGTGACAGACTAGACCTTGTAACAAAGCTTGTTCTTCTCTGAATACCAAAGTCAGTGAAAATCAGATACAAATTACTTGCCTTGTCATGTTTTATTTTTGTTATAGATTGTTAAAATAACTTCCTCCAAGATCAATCCTCACCTATATTTTGTGTTGTTTCAAAAAGTATGTTTTTGTGTGTCCTTCACAGCCCTTTGCTTTTTTAGACCTTATTACTCAGGTTCAGTATTCCTTGAATTTATTTATAAGACCCTCTGTGTAGAAGCCCAGAAATACTCTTTTCTAGGTGCCTACTCAAAGAGCTGACACCTCGCCTTATGCCTGTGGCTCAGTTATGCAGAATAATCAGTTGATACATAAAAGAAAAAACAAGAATGTTGCACATCCCACTACCTTGTACATTTATTTGTCTTTATTTTAGAGTCACATTTTTTGGTTCAAACCATTTTTTTTCCAGCACCAGGGGATAGAACTCGGGACCTTGCACTTTTAAGTCAGGCATGGCACCATTGAGCTATATCCCCAGCCCTCAAACCATTTTTCTTAATTCAACCCGAATGAAATTCAACCAGTTTGAAGCTGTTAAAACTCAAGGAATAGGCCTGTATTCAAAAAGAAGTTCCTGTGCAGAGAAATAAGTCCCCAGTCAGGGGTTTTTACTTTTGGTAGCTTGTACATCTTAATATCTCCCTAACACCAACTTATTCCTGTCTTTGAGCAGTTGTTTTATGGAGAAGTAAAACCTGATATTGAAGGAATGTATTTTTGATAGAATATTAACCTTGATTTTTTATTGCATCATCTAGGACAACCCAGGGCTTTACTTGGTAGTTGTTACCCAAGCTGTTTGAAATTTTGATCATCAACCTCTCACATTCTCCACTCTACATTGCCAAAGTCTTTTGTCACAACCCCAATTTGTTGACACAAGATTGTGCTTGCCCTTCTTGTAATATAATGTAGCTTCTCTGTAACCTTGAATTTCTTTAAATGAATGCACGAGTAAATGAGAGAATGAGTGAACACACATTTATGGAGTACCGAGTAAGTTCAAGCATTAGAATATTTTATGTCATTCCAGCGACGTTTTCTGTATGAGAGTAATTCATACCATTAGAAATGTTTTCCAATGTGAATCATATTACAAAATTCTTACTTTTATATTTCATTTAAATTAATGAGGAAAAGTTTATAATATATTTTAAACAAAGTGTTACTATGTAATACTAACAACTGTAATTATAGTTAATAACTAAAATCTCTTGGAAAAGATCAAAGAAATATTTGATTCTGGTGCAACTTTGATGAAAATATTTACTTTAGAAATATAAACATTCTTATTTGGTATATCACTTTATGTATAATTAAAATCAATATTTTATAGATAGGCTGGTTATTTTATACTTAGAAAGCTTTTGTCAATTCATGAATAAAATCTGCAATTGTAAGTTTCTTTGCTTTGCTATACTTCCTGCTAATGGTGGTACCCATATTTCTTAAATATAAAGAAAAACACAGTAAAAAAAAAGCTAATATTTTTCTTCATTTATAGATACATACATATTTCTTAGATTCTCACATTTTTTATTTTTGGTACTGGGAATTGAACTGAGGACCTTGCACTTGCGAGGCAGGTGGCAGCATGAGTCTCATATTCTAATTAAGATCACATGCTACATTTGAATGATACTTTAGTCAGTTTCCTCTTTTGAGCAAGGCAGAGTACCAAATTACCAAAAGAGTTTTCATTTAGAATTTATGAGAAAACTTTTTGCATGAGTTATTTGATTTATATTGTGGTGTTAAACTGTTGCTTGGATTTATAAAACAGTAAGTAGATTTTTTTCAGGAAGATCATCCATGCATAGCCTGCTGGTAAGAATAAAAGTCATTTTCCTGTAACTATATAATGCAGAGTAAAAAGATTTGGCTAGGCATTGAAATGGAAACAATGGGAAAGGTTAAACTTGCATAGTTGAAGATATGGTGAGTACTCTGAGAAGAAATAAGTGATTTTGAAAGGTTAGTGTCTTTTAAAAAATCTTAATTTTAGTTGGCAGAGAAAAGCCAATGGGAATGTCTGCAACATCCAGTCAAGGGGGAAAAAAGATCCAAGAGTCAGAAAACCATAAAGAATCACCAGAAGAATCTGAGGCTAGCAGTCTCTTACTCTCTGCAGCTGCAAGTAAGAAACAAGTTTTTTTTTTTCTTATTTTGTTTGTTTTGTTTTATTTCTTTTGGCTTGTCTGCATTGCTTCTTCCTGTGGCTATCTGAGGAAGAACATCATATTATTTTTATAATATGTATTACACTATACCATATGAGTTGCTTTTAAGCTGTTATCTTATATTTTTATGCTTTAGTTTTATATTTCAAAAATTACGTTTATTTAAAAATGTATTTATTTCTGTCTTAAATTTAATGTTCACTCCAGAATGATGGCTTGAAAAGAAGATAGTATTATGATATTTTATTGTCACCCACAAAATATTTCATGAATATATTTTATGAATAAAATACAAATTCTCACCAAAGTGTAAGCAACAAGAAAAATAACCTTCATTTTTATGACATAGAAAGTGAGGCATGATTAAACTGCTCTAGGAGAAATTTGAATTTCTAGTTTCTTAGTCTGTCATTTTTTCTTGCTTCTAAATGTAATATAAATGTATTACATTCCTCTGACTGGAAAGTATAATATATGATATTTTGTGCATCAGAATATAGTCAATGAAATAGTAGACCACGCTGTCTTTGAAACCTATTTTGGGAGACAGAGAAATTAAAAGATTCCCTTTTAAAAAGTGAGTTTTGGATTTAGTTATTGGGATATTATCATTTCTTTCAGATAATAACAGATAATTGATATTTCATTGACTAGCCTATGGCATTATCAACCATAGGAAAATTAATATTTTGATTTTTGCTTCATTGGACCAGTCTCAGTCCTATATTTCTGTATTAAGTCATGAATCCATGGAACAGTGTGAAGAATAACATTGCAAGAGAAACATGTGCTTAGTTAAGTTTCTTCACAGAAGAATCCACTCATGTCAGGAAGCAATGACAGCTATATTAGAGATGGCCACCTCAAATACAATTTGACTTGGATGAAAATGTGCTAGCTGAAATCTCTATGAATAGATACTTTTTACGAGTGGTAAATATTTGAGAGAACACCTTCTGTATGTCTTATGAACATTTGTCCTTGCAAAATCACTTTTGAAATGTTATCATTGTTAACATTTTAAGGAGTGGAACGTGTAAATATTTTATTAAAGCTGGCCAACTATATAAGACAGCTTTGCTTTATTACAACGAAACACCCAGGACAGCTAACTCGTAAAGAGAAAATATTTATTTAGCTCATAGTTTTATGGTTAAAAATCTGAACAGTGGCATGGTGCAAGCTTGGTGATGATGGTCCCTTGGATTTATCACCACGTGGTAAGGATGGCAAAAGAGGGCGTAGATACTGGGAGCAAGTGATTACATCTCAAACTGAAGTGTATCTCAAGCAAGTGATTACAGGTCAGAATGTCTTAGTCACTTTTCTCATTGCTGACACAAAGTACTCAACACCCAAAGTTAAAGAAGGAAAGGTTTATTTAGCTCACAGTTTGTAGAAGTTTCAGTTCATAGTTGGCTGGCTCCAAGGCAGAGTGACATGGCAGAGAGGCGTTGCAGAGTAGAAACAGTCCATGGCAGAGCAGGGGAGGCAGAAGACAGCAAGTAGCAAGCGACAAGGGATGACACTTGGCTTCTTTCTGTCTCTTATATTTTATCCAGGCTACCCACCCTTAGAGAAGGTAGCATTCACACCTTTATTCCTAGCATCACACCATGAATCAATTTCAGTATCACATCCTTGATGCCAGCATCACATACTGTAGATCCAGCCGCCTCCAAAAAGTCCTACCTATGACTGCATGAGGCTTTGGGGGGACATCTAGATGCAAACCATAACACAAAGAGAGGTAGGGAGGGAAAGGAACAAGGGAGAGTAGGGGGAGGAGAGAGAGAAAAAAACAAAACGAAGAGGGCCGGGGGATTTAGCACAGTGGTTCTGGTGCCTGCCTCGCAAGAGCAAGGCACATAGTTTGATCCCCGGTACCAAAAAAAAAAAAAAAAAAGGAAAAAGAAAACGAAGGAAAAAGAAGAGGAGGAGAAAGAGAGATTGGAGTCCCATAGCCCCTTTAGGATTATGATTGCATGACCTCCAACAAAGTCCCACCTCCCAAAGTGCCATCACCTACCAATAGTGTCACCCGGGAACCAAGCCCATAACATAAGGACCTTCAGTGGACACTACCCTCATTCAAACCATAGCACAAATATTTCCAAAAATGATAAATGTAGGCCTCATAATAAATAGAGCTTCTGAAATCATTTTTTATTTAATTGATCATCAAATATGCATTGTGTACCTAAGTAAATATCAGAGGTAAAGAAATAATGATGGGCAAAGTGAACTTGGTCTCAGCTCTATTGAAGTTTATAAATCAATAGGTCAAATAAACAAACTACACAAAAATATAGGGTAAAAGTAGATATTTGAGTGTGCTAGATACAACATAAAGTTTGAACTATTAATTCAGTCTAAAAGACTTTGTAGTTAATGGAAATACAATTGAAATGTTAAGTGGGCCAAAGACTAAGAAAAGGGACTGTGAGCTTAAACTTTATTCATGAGCTATTTAAACTATTGACATATCACAAACTTTTTACTTGAACATGAAATCCTAGAAATTCAGATGATGAAGTTCCTTGAATCAGTCGGTATTTACAAGAGAAACAGATATAACACAAGATATATAGATCCATACGAGAGTTTGCAAGATTTGCTTACAATAGCCACTCACAGGGTTGGATGAGGAAGAGCGCAGCGGGTCTGTCTGCACACTAGAGACCAAAAGATTTAGTCAAAGGTCTGGAGCTCACTGCAGTGTCCTGTGGGGGTATCAGGAGGCTGATGGGCCTGCACTGGAAGGCTGAAGAGTTGGTGTCAGAAGGCAGGAGATGACATCCAAGGGTTATCAGTATGCTCTACAGGAGTAGAAGGAGAGGCCACAGTGGCCTTAGGTCTCATTAAATTAGAGAGTTGACTTCAGCAACCCCTAAAGCCATTAAAGAATTCCATTTTTACAATTCTGTTTCTCTAGAGCCACTCCTAGTACCAAAATCTCTGTGTTAGTTACTTTTCTATCATTGCTGAGACAAAATACCAGACACCCAAAATTAAAAAGGAAGAGGTTTATTCGGCTTACAGTTCGTAGAGGTTTTAGTCCATAGTTGCCTGGCTTTGGGGGGGGGGCATCTAAATACAAGCCATAACACTCCTCTAAAACAAATGCCATTTATAAAATGTTCATAATTTGTTTAAATTTTACCTGTTTTTGGTTGCAGTGGAAATGGTGTTATAAACACCCATGACTTTTAGTCAGAAAGAAAATGTCTTCTTATGTAAATATTATTGTCTTGGTTACTTTTCTCATTGCTGAGACAAAATATCCAACACCTAACATTAAAGGATGAAAAGGTTTATTTCAGCTCACAGTTTGTAGAGGTTTCAGTCCACAGTCAGCTGGATCAAGGCGGAGTGGTATGGCAAAAGGCACTGTAGGAGAGAAACAGTTCATGGAAAAATAGGGTGGGCAGAAAGCAGCAAAGCAGCAGAGCAGCAGAGCAGCTTCTTTCCGATCCTTTATATTTCATGCAGGATAACTCCCTTTTGGGTAGTGCCACCCACACCAAGGATGGGGCACCTTAATCTCATCATCACACACCCTCATCCAGCCCCTATCTATGACCACAGGAGGCTTTGGAGGACATCTAGATACAAGTGGTAACAGTTACCTGGAAGGCTTTTATTACTGAGTAATTAGATCACAAATCCTTTTAAAGTCTTTTTTCTACTTCTTTTAAACAGTTGTAATATTTAAAAGTTGTTTCTTGCAAAATATACCTTTTGGGTTTTACAATTTAGCTGTTCTGCTAGATAGGATTGGGTTACATTAGCCATTCATATGCAAATATGTTGGTTATAAATATTTAAGAAAACATATTTCTTGTAAAGACATCTAAAAGCAACTATTATCTCCACTTTTAGAACACTTTCATTCATCTGTCTATCTCTTATCTCTTTGGGGATTGGGAATTATAGACAAAGTAAACTTGTTCTCTTTTTGTTCAAAATACTTACTTATGAAAAAGAAAGTTGAAATTTTTTCTCATCTACATTAGGGGACCATGAGCAGTTAGAACTTGTAATAGCATATAAAGAATAGCTCTTTTATAGGAATTAATAGTTCTTTTGTAGTAATAAATAGCAGTGCATTACCATTAAATTTATGGGGTTTTCCTTTAGGTTAAAATTGAATTATAATATTAGCTTTGTTAGAATAGGGTATGTGAGGAAGCAATATTCTCTTTTTGTTTTTTAAGAAAACATTTTCATTATGGAAAGCCTCAAACTAACACAAAGGTAGAGAAAATAGAATAAGGAATCCCCATTACCCCATACCCACCTTTAGCAATTATCAACGTATACCCAATTTTGTTTTAATTATCCTTTATTTAAACTATCCCACACAACTCCTGTTGGATTATTTTAAAGCAAATCCAAGACATAGTATTTCATTTGTAAATACTTTGGAAATTCATATTTTAAAAGTTATTTAAGTGAACACATAAATTATTTCTGCATAATTTTAAGTTTAGAAACATTGCATCTAAACATGTTCAAACCAACTATAGAAAGAAAAGATTTATGATTCTATGGAAGGCATTGTGGCAGTCATTCTGACCTTTGTCTGTCTGTGATGGGTCCCCAACATGTTTCTGGATGAGGTTTAATCTGTTCTGAAGTCTCATCCATTGCATATTCTTTGCTTAAACTGAATTAGGTGCCAATACTTCATAATACAGAAAATTATGAGAAAAAAGAAATTTATTATCCAGGCTTTCTTAAAAGCAATCATCAGTAATTAAGTTATTTTGGAAAAATGTAAAATGCATAAAGAAAAATATTAAAATTGCATCATGCTATTGTCCCCAAAGAATACTTTAAAATTATTTATATTTGTGTGTATCTGTGTATATAGACCCACACATACATACATGTTATGTTGGGCATTCAATTTTGTAATCAGTTAATAGAAGATAGTAAACATGAGAATTTTTGT